ACCAAGATCTCCACTTCAACCCCAGTTATCTCGATCCCGGCGATCACATACTCGGCTCCCTTCTCTTCAACATAGCCCGATGAATCGATCGTACACATGGACTCCTTGCACTTCTCTTCGATCACTTCGTCCTCCACGCACGTCTCCTCGCGTGATTCTCGGAGCTTCTCTTTGGCCTCCGCTTGTTGCCTCTCCTCAAACTCCTTTCGCTCGTGAAGCTCCTCCAAAAACTCTTGCTCCCATGGAGTCAAACTCCTCTCCAAACCTTCGAGATAAGCGAGATCTTCCAGATCCAACTCATCTAATGGTAAGAAGTTCATCTCTCTCTCTTTTTTTTTAAGACTAAAAAAAAAAATATTCGAACAAAGTCGAACCAAAAAGAAAACAAAAACAAAAGAAATTCGGCCCCTCAACAAAAGGTAATAACCGAAAAAAAATCAAACAAGGGACTAGATGACACTTTTTTTTAAGACTCACGAAATTTTTCGAAAATTTTTGAAAAAATACGAAAAAATTCGAACACAAAGACTCAAAAAAATCGAACAAAAATAAAAAGAATGGGATAGGAAAAGTTTACGAACACCCAATCGATCACTCTCAATGAAAGCACCAATGATGAAGGATCGGGTGTTGCGTTCCCTCGACTTGTCTCGATCACGGTTTCGCCACGGCCTTGCTCTCGACGATAGGTGTGATCGACTCGGTTATTAGCCTAACTCTCTCACGATACTTGAGTTCACTCGGTAATTAGCCTAGCTCCCTCTTTCGAACTAGATCGGGTCTTAGCCTCTCTAACTCGATGAACTGGCTTGGGTCTTAGCCTCACCAATTTGGTTGCATGATGGAATTCTCACGAACCCTAACACACGATTTGAACAAACGTTCCTTTTCTATTTCATCAATTCTGGACATGAAAAACAATGAGGGATGGTCCCTATTTATAGATCCTAACTATGACTAATTCTAATCCACCTAGGAAACATATTAAAGCAATAAAATATTAAATAACCTAAACATTCTAGATATTATTGTGCAAGAAGGAAACTAAATATCTAGAGTCCTAAATTTACTAGATCTTGATCTTTCTTTGCTTGCACTCCAAACAATCCCAAACCACACGCCCCTAAGTACTCGGCCGCCTCACTTTGCGCACCGCCTCATTGCGTTGCCTATTCCTCGTCGCGCGCGGCTTCGCGCGCGCGTGCCTCGCACGCGTCACACGCTGCCTTCCTTATGCGCGTGCGCGTCCCGCTCTCCTAAGCCTGCGAGGCTTAGGCCTCTGCCCGCACCTGCACTCCACTCGCGCGCCCATGTGCGCGGCCCTGCATCGCTGCCCAGGCCCTGCGCGTGCCGGCTACCCAGCACCCATCGCT